TGACTGGGCTGGAATGTACTATAGGTATTCTCTAAATATTCCCAGATTAAAAACTCTGTTCTAGAGACTGAAAGGTAGGGTGCCCTAGAAAAAATCATTATTTTATAATGCTGACATCTGACATGACATTTGAAGTGTATTTATTTGATTTATATCCCATCTTTCCTCCAATAACAGGGTTTTCTAATATTCCACTATAAGCCTGTCTGTCTTATCCTGACTCTGAATGAGATATCTTTTAACTTATTCTATTCTTTAAAATTATAAAAAGGAAAATAATATCTGAGTCAAGCCTACAGACTTCAGTTCCTTTTTTTTTTTATCTAAAAATCTGAAATGCCAGGAGATGGATTTTTAAAAAAATAAGATTCAGGTTTATCAACTGAAAAATGGAGTCATTTGAATGTTTCCTTTGAAGGAAGCCATGTTAGAGGGAATTGCTCCCCAATAATAACCGTAATCATAGTTAGTATTACTAAATACATTTTAATATTACTTTCAGACCACAAACACAAAAATAAGCTGGATACTTCATGAGAACCTTAAGTGATACAATCATAAAAATACAATAAAATGAAGTAAAATATTCAATAAAAATATAACAGCATAACAGCATCAAAACTATCAGAGATAAGTCTCATCCAATGTTTATAAGCTGAAGAGATCAGGATGTGATGGAATATAGCTATGAAGAGGAGGGAGATATGAGAGAGCAAGGCTATCAGGAAGGAGGGGGTGCATTCCAGGAAGGGAAAGGAGACAAAAGACAATACAGTCCGCAGGGAGAGCGTGGGAAGCAAAAGAGGTTCAGGATAGCCACTCCCTAGAATCTCACAGGGTAAATCCATTTGTTGCAGCCGTATAGATTTAGTCTGGCAAGATTCTGTCTATAAGGTGTAAACAAATAAAGGAATTTAACTCAACTGGACTGTTCCACCATTGTTCTTGGGCTGGGCCTGACACAGACTGATCTTTTTTGACATTGCACACTGGGTGCCAGACAACTTTCTCTGGGCAGAACCTCATAAATCAAGCAAGCAAACCCCAAGAGTTTCATCCTTCCGTAACTTGGGGTCCTCCATATATGTTGGAATGATGACTCCAAGAATTCCAATCAGCATAGCTAAGCCTGTGAAGTTCTTCAAGCACAGGTGAGGTGGTCCTCAACAGAGAACACAACTTCAGATGGTTGGCCATGTTCTGCTCCTCTCCAATTGTCTTATAGCTAACCATCATGATGGAGAGTGGCAGATTGGGGAAGGGGCCTTAGTTCTTGTTCTTTCAGAAAGCCTCTATATTACCTGTTGGGATCATAGCCCCGTTCACCTGGCTTGCGGACCTGAGGCTGCTGATTGAGTTTGCGGACCTGCAGAGAGAAAGACTCGCTATCTGATGTGTCCGTGTGCTCCTCATGTCGATCATGGCTGCCACTCCGGCTGTTTGAACTTGACCTCACACCATCTTGAAAGCCTGGAAAGATGCCAAAGGGAAAACCAACAAAGAGAGTTAGCCTATCTTACATGCTGGTAGCAATGGTTTCTTCAATAATGATTGCATCTGACATTATGCTAAACCACAGGCTAGGGCAGAAGCAGGCCATTGGGTACTCTTTTCAAAGTCCATCAGTCTTAGCCAACTCTGGTTTGTGCAAGCTGCACCAGCCTAGTCTACTCTGCTATGAGTGCCCATTCTTCTTGCTTCCTGCCTGGGTGGTCAAGAGGAATAGCTTGAAAACACTTATCGCCGCTTTAGTTAACTGTGTATTCCCATGCCATGCAAAGTCAAGATCTCTATTTGATATTAACTATGCTTTGCTTGAGCAAAACAACTTCAGAAACCAGCTTGCCGCAACAACAGTTTGTGCCTCCATATGTCACCACAATCTAACAACAAGAGCTCCCAGCTGCTCATGAAAAGAAGCAGAGAACATGCAAGCTGGAAGAAGTCTAGGCTTCTTCATATATGCTCAAACAAGATTAGCTACACGCTATGAACTCGGGAAGAAGCTAAACCCTAACTACTCAGACTGACACTGCTGGGCGAAACAGCCTTAACATTCAGAACCCCTAGACTGCAGTTCAAACTCTGAGAAACGGGGAATAAAGCAGGAGGAGGAGCAACACAATGGGAACTTGGATACCGACAACAGGGAAAGTTGGAATCCAGACTGCCTGCTAATCCACATTTTTGTCTGGGGTTGCAAAGTGATGTTGAAAACAAGGAAGCAAAACTACTCCAGAACGTGCAGGTGCTGAGAGGCAAACAGAGGAAACAGAACAAAAGCAGTTCCAGAGTTATTCCTGGGAGGGGAAGAGAGCCCTGTTAGAGAGAAAAGTCTAGTTCCAAAAGATAGAGGGAGGAGTGGTGGGGAAGGGAGGGGAGAAGGGACTCATTGCCAGAGTGGTGGGATTTGCACTGTAAGATTCTGGATGAGCTCAGCGCTTCGACCTTGCCAGGCAAGGCACAAACAATCACTGTCCGAAAGACTTGCCACAGGCTGCCTGATATTTTGGAGTGATTTTTGACTCAGCAAAGAGGGAGATGGGGCTGAGCAACTGGAGCAGATGACTCCCCTTGAAGGAGGGGTGAATATTCTTGCTGTCAGCTGCTTCCAACCCCCAGGCATCTCGGTCGATTGTGGGTAAGGAAAACACCTTGGCAGGCCAAGTGTTCACAGCACAAAGCAGAAGCAGCAAGAGATTTCATTTCCTCCTTCGCTGACTGCAGAAGACCACCCTAAGGGAGACTCCCTCCCAAAGCATTTAGAGACATAAACACAGTCTGTGTATACGCAATAATGGACTTTTGTTCTCACTGGCCGATCCTCTACATGTAGATTTTTGCCCTGGGAGTGCTCAGAAATGGCCATGTGGCCTGGGAATTCCAGGGGTTGGTCCATATAGCTACTGCGTTACCCCGATTAAACAAGGTTATAATAGTGAGCAAGGCCACCAGATGTCCATCACTCCAGTATAATTTGAAGTCGTTTCCCTAATACCCAATTGGGCTTGTTATCACTTACTTGTCAGGTTGCTAAAGCACTTTATTTCCTTGCCAAAGCATACCTTGGGAATATGCTTGCCCAGGGACAATTTTGACCTCAAACCAGAGGTTAAAATGGTTTTTTTCTCTATGCACTTTTCACTGGTGCATTGGACATAAAAATGCCTATGGGGCATTCCTTCTTGGACACTGAAAACAGAGTGCCCTCCGTTTTAGACACACAGTTTTCTTTCCATACCTACTTGCTTGGCAAAAAGGGGGAAAAAATCAATGATTATTTTACCGCTGCGACATTTCTTTGCACGCCTCAGCCATTATTAGTATATCAGGATATTAATTGTCCCATAGCATCTGTCAAGCAAAAAAAGGATTCAGAGAATTTAGGTTTTTTTCTGACATCATAACCTCGTTTTGATTTTCAAGCGTTGAGAGCAGCCATGCAGATTTTGGATTCCGATCCACTATTGAAGTGTAAAAATCTTAATTAAAACACCCCTGATAAATGTCCATTGAGATTTTCCTTAAAGACATCTGGTGAAAGGGAGCCCACCAGGTTTCTGAATCAATACTTCTATTATTGAACAGCTTTTCCTAGTAGGAAAATGAAGTAGAACACATTATTTTATACATATTTAATATTTAAATTAAATGCAACATATCCAGTTACCAAGTTCTTCTATTCTCACAAACCCAGTAAAGAATCTTGAGAAACTTTAAACAAATATGCCCAATTAAAGTCAGGCCATTTGTTCCACAAGACTCATGTATTTATTTAAAACATGACTTTCCTCAAAAAAGAGTCAAAAGTTGCTCACGTTTAAAAATATTAATTACCGTAGCGGAGTAAAAGTAAATGGAAGCTATAAGGAACAACGCTAAAGCAACATCAAGAAGAAAAAAAAGTCTGTGAAAACTCCAAAAAGAGTTAAAGCCAGTTAGAACACGTCAAATCCCTCTTAACAAAGCAAGCTAGCAATGAAAAGCCATTAACAAGAGAGGATAACTTGCAGGGCTGTAAATTCTTCCCCCCCCCAAAAAATAGTGGTGGATACTTTGCCACTTGGGGGAGAAACCAGATGGCACACGCAGGTCAGTTCTACCCTCGACCATGTGCCCACTTGAAGGTGGGCACATGAAGAATGGCAAGATGAACTCCACCTATCACAAACCACACGATGTAGACTTGTCTTACTTAAATCACAGGTGAGGAGATATGTAGTAAAGCATCTCCTTCATTCAACCCCCTCCTGGACTACCTGTGTGTGAACATCCATAGGAGTACAGCTCAGACAGTGCCCTGATTTGGAGATGAGGGAGTGGAGGAACCCAACTGATCTCTTCATCTTTTGCAATAGCCTCCTTGTGTTTCTTCAGAAGGCTAGACACAGTTTGGTGCAGTGGTGAAGGCACCAGGATAGAAACCGGGAGACCGGGAGTTCTAGTCCCGCCTGAGGCCCGAAGCCAGCAGGGCGACCTTGGGCCAGTCCCTCCCTCTCCACCCTAGGAAGAAGAAGAAGAAGGAGGCCAGGGCAAACCACTTCTGAAAACCTTGCCAAGAACTGACTCAAAGGCACCAACCAGAGAGAGAGAGACAGTCAGTCAGTCAGTCAGTCAGTCAGTCAGTCAGTCAGTCAGAGGTTAATTAAAACAGCCTTCAAACATTAATCTGACAGCTATAGATGGGAAGCAACTCCATGCAGATGAGGACTACTGTATCTGGCTTGCAAAATCTCATATAGTTGTGCCATGGCAACAAAGGACTGGAGATTTTTTGTATCTCTCTGCTGCCATCTAGTGATCTTCTGGAATTTTACAGCACTGATCTGATGGGTTTTATATATAGATGGGCAATGTAGGAAGAGAGCCGTGTAGTCTACGGGGGCAAAAAAATCAGCAGGGGCCCGGTAGCACCTTTTCCAACTAACAGATTTTTATTAAAAGGCATAAGATCTTGTGAGCTGCAGCTCGCTTTATTAGACACACAGATGCATCTGATGATAAGTTGCAGCTCCTGAAAGCATATGTCTTTTAATAAATTTTCATATAAGTAAATTATGACACCATGGAAACTAAGTAAACTAATAGAGAATGGAAATACTCTCAACACCTAGGTTAGAAATGTAACACTTGGCTGCGGGAGGGACAGAAACCAAACAGCTACTATTTTTTCTAAATAATAATTCAGCCTCCTCCTTCAGATCCCTGTTTTTTAATTCAAACACTGCCATGTTATTCATTTCCCCCTTAATCAGGATGCCCATTTCGACGAATCAAGCAAGCTCTGACATCTTGATTTATCCAGATCGGCTCATCGAAAAAACAGAAACTTTTTTTTTCAGCAAAGAAATTTGAAAGGGTAAATTCTGGTGTATGACAGTGATATTTCTTATGATGAAGTTATCATAATAAATAAAGTCTCCTGCAAGTTGAGCTCAACTCCTAGAGCAGGGTTTTTCAGACTGGGCTCTGCCAGAACTTGATGGACTGCTGTCAGAAACTAAAAAAACCCCAAAACCTTCATCACTAGAGCTTTGCCTCTTGATCGGGGGTTCTGAGAAGCTCTTTTTTTCTTTTTTCTAAACCAATAGGTTCTGCAATCTGAAAAGGTTTGATAATCCTCATTTTAGAGATTTTATGGACCTCCCCATCCTTTTTTTTTTTTTTTTTTGGTAACCATACAAAAACAGTTGTCACTGGTTTCTCTCTCTCTCTCTCCCTTTTTTTGGTGACTTCCCAGTCTAGCCTATAGCTCTGGGATTTCCTAGTGGCCTCCCATTCTAGTACAAACTAGGCCTGGCCTTGCTTAGCTTTGTAGGCTCAGCTAAGGCTAGCCTGGTGCTATTCCCTGTGATAGAGGACTATCAAGAGCTCCTGATCATGATGGCATTATATAACACCATGCTGCTACCCAGCTAAGCAATGTGTCCTAATCCTTCTGAACATTTCTGTTAACCAGCTATGGCTCTGAATTGTGGAAATGTTACTGCATCTTTACACCCCTTCCAAATTCCTCAGATAAGCAACCATGCCCTTGCTTGCTAGTTTGACCTAAAGATCTGCTGCTCTTTTGACCATTACTGGCTTCTTGATGGCTGCTATTTGTCCTTCACTTGAACCTTGTTGTAAACTAAGCAAATACTGCTGAGACAGTTTTTCCTTTGAAAAATGATATTTGTGGTTTTATATTATAGGAATTGTAACTTTACAGCTTTACCTACGGTTTGAATTGCCCTGGAAGGACACTGCTGTGAAAAGCTGCCCCAAAATAGGTTCTCAACACCACGTGAATCGAATGTGGTACTCTTCCTAGACTCTAGCGTGCTACAGAAAATGGATTATTATGATCATCAGTTAAAGGACAGTGACACATGCCTACTTTCCTATTTTCTGTTATGGATTTGGAAGCTGCCACACAAAAGTTTTGCTCTGAGCCAGCTGCCTATTTAATTCCCTGCAGTGTTATTTCAGTACTATTAGCACACAATTCATAACCCTCCGAAAGCCTTTTTCATCCTGCTCCCTGCCATGAAGGCTTAGTGTTTTTCAAAGTATTCTGCACAGCAACCATTTATATCCCCCCCCCCCCCCTTATTGCAAAGGCATTGCTCTCCTTTGTAAAATGTCCTTGGTGATTTTACACAACTACAGAAGAGGCTCCAATGCTTCTCTTTTGCTCCCTCTTCCAAAGATGCTAAAGTCAACAAAATCTTCCAGGCAGCCTGGACCAATCCTGCTATTTTTAAATACGCTCACATCAGGAACGATTGTATATATGGGTATGAATGGCTTGTGGTTATTCAGCTATAATAGCACACCACCCAGGGACATGATCACCAATCCAAATTCATTTTTAAAATGATTTTTTTCATTGATACACCACACATGTCCATCAGGAGTTAAAAAGCCCCATGGCTCTGACTATAGAAAATCATTACTGCAAGACTTGACTCAGGAAGAAAAGGTTAGGCTCACATATGCCTCACTGTCAAGCATCACAGGGAAGAACATGGAACAGGCCTGTGCAATTGGCAACCCACCGCACTAAACAGAGAACACCTGTCATGGATGACAGGCCATGAGTGACTCAACACACCTCTTGATTTTGCAGCCCCTAAATGCAGTCACTCTGCTTTCCTTCCTGCCACCTGGAAGACAGACCCCACTTAACTTGGCAGGGAGCTGCAATATGGAGAGGTTTCACATGAAACCTAGAAACTTTTCTCTGCAATCCTAAACAGAATTCCATACAACGAAGACGCTGTGCAGCAGGATTCAAGGTTGCTGCCCACGTTAAAATCCTGGATTTGTGACAACCCATCCAGTACAAACGGCATTCTTATCATTGCTATATTATTCATTACATTTTATCTCACCTTACTTTTAAGGTACTCCAAGCCAAGCCCCCTATGCTGTCACTCTCACAAAAACTCTGTGAAGCATGTTGGTCTACTTCAAATGCCTTTTGAAGTGGTTACCTAGGGGGGTTTATGACCCTGCTGACATTTGGACACACGCCTTTGACATTTCTAGTACAACACTTTAATCACTGCACCATACTTGTTTTCTCTGATATTAATTCCCCTGACTTCTAAACTAAAGCTTTATACCAAGAGGTTTGGAGATATTTAATAATAAATATAACTAGGAAGAAAATAAAATTAAACATGAAAAGTAGAACATAATGAATGCCTATGGACTCCCATATATATTTCTAGAGGAAAGTGCTGCTTCCCATGTCTGAAATATATTTCTTCCCCTCAGTTTTGGGGAAGTGAGGTTGTACCTATCGATGGGATAAGTAGTTCTAATAAGCAGTTTAGGTGGGAAAAAAGAGAGAGTGATATAATACCTACTGCATTGCAGATATTAGGGCAAAGAAATCCAGCTTTACAAAGAAAGAGTTATCTTTCAAGTATGGCTTAGAAGACACAGGAAAAGTCATTCTGCAAAGATTTAGGAAGATGGCTTGGATTTATTTTGATCTAGATTAAAAGAGGAAAGTAGAAGTCAGGGGCTGCTGCTTTCTCGAACAAGCTCAAGAGGTGGATTCTCTTAATTATATCATTAAATGGAGAAGGGTTAGCTGCTTCAAGAAAGAGTTGGCATTTCTGTGCCATTGCACTGAACACTCTCACTTTCATAGCAGTCATCTTAGTTAAATTAGGGGCACCCCCCTTTTTTTTTTAAACAACTTAGAAAATTAGCTTTAGCTTCAGATCTTCCAGAACACAAACGGAAGACTGGAATGGAGAATGTCAAGTGCATTCTAAATACTTTAGGGAAAAGATTGCTGTCTACAAATCATTTCTCTCCGTATAACCCCAACAGGAAGAAACGTAAAGGTCACACTTCTCTCCCCCCACTAAGCAATGCTTCAAGAAGAGGAGCTCCCCAAAGGTGTCTATGGATGATCATGAGATAAGGGGGCAACCCCCCCCAAGCAAAACGTTATGGGATGTCCGTGGGAGAGGAAGGAAAGGGGACCACCCAGGTGCTAAGGACAGGAACTCCTGCACATGCTCCCAAGGAGGCAGGGGAGCTAGAAAGATGCTCCAGATGTCTCTTGGAGGGAGAGGCGCCCCGCCCCCTTCCCGCTGCCCCTCTCGCTCCCCCTCTCACCCTGCCGCTTTCGCTCCCGCTTGTCCTGCAGCTGCTTCTTCTTCTGCTTAGCGCTGAACGGCCTCTTGCGGGGCATGTCCTGTCCCGGCTGCCGTCCCCTCCTCCTTCCGCTCCTCCAGCAGCCCCGCACTCGCAGCCCCGGCGGGGGGGGGGGGG